TTCTGGGTCTGGGCGCGCCCATGGCACAAGAGAAAAACCTGGAGTGGGGCAACGTTTAAAAAAAATAAACATTTTATTACAGAGCCCGTTGGTTGCTATTGAAATTTCATCTTTCTCCTGTCAGAACTATGGTGGAAAATGGTAATAAATCCTTACTAATATTATAAATCGGAAAGTGAGTTTGTTTGTTTGTTTATTTGTTCCACTTTCACGCCGTAACTACCAAACTGATTGCTTTGATTTTTTGCAGACGTAAAGTTTGAAGTCCGGATTAAATAATAGGGTACTTTTTAACCCGGAAAAATTTGATATTCCCGAGGGAAAACAAAAATATTGGTATAGATGGCGCTGTGTGTATTTGTATATGTCACATAGGCTACTTTTTATCATTTTGTGACGCGAGCGAAGCCGCGGGTAAAAGCTAGTCTATATATATAAAAGAAAGTCGTGTTAGTTACACTATTTAGAAATCAAGAACGTCTCAATCGATTTAGATGAAAATCGGCAGGGAGGTAGCTTAGAACCAGGAGACGGACATAGGATACTTTTTATAGAATACTTTTTACCGAAAATCACGAACGGGAACGGGGGAAAATGGGATTGCGCGTACGAAGTCGAGGGCAGAAGCTAGTTACCTATATATTTAGTTTAGGTGGTAGTAGCCTAACAAATTATATCCGTTTACAACCAACAGATATGAGGAAGTGGTTCCCGAATTTACAGTTCACCGGACATTAAATGAAAACCGCACACAGATATTCTGTGTACCATTTGTGGTAATATGTCGTTTTAATGAACGGTGCCTGCCTATCTAAATATTATTTTAACCTGATTAATGATAATATCATAGATGAGTGTTAGATTGCATAGATGATTTACTTATTGATTTTGTGACCCACCACAAGGATAGCTAATCTAGAATTGTGTATCTATATATATAAAAGAAAGTCGTGTTAGTTACACCACTTATAACTCAAGAACGATCTAATAGATTTGGCTGAAAATTCGTAGGGAGGTAGCTTAGAGCCAGGAGACCGACATAGGATACTTTTTAAACAATTTTTTTTTTACTTTTTACCGAAAATCACGAACGGGGACGGGAAAAAATAGGATTACGCGTACGAAGTCGCGGGCAGAAGCTAGTTGTAGTTAATCATAGAGAACCATTTTTGAAATCTGAGTGTTCATTTTGTCTAATGTTACTCTGTAGGGTAATTTTTATTTATGGGATAAGCCAGTAAACGGGTCACCGGATGGTAAGCAATGGACACCTGAAACACAGAGGTGATACAAATGCGTTACCGGCCTTTTGGGGATTAGGTAGGAATTCCAGGATTGTTGAGGATTCGGAGATTAGGAAGATTGGGAGAATAATTGGGCCTCTGGTAACTTCACTCACACGACGAAACACAACGCAAGTGTTGTTTCACTTCGTTTTTCTGTGAGGTCGTGGTATTACTCCGGTCGGGCCGGCCCATCGTGCTGAAGCATGGCTCTCCCACATTTAATTCCAGGATTAATGCACTTTTTTTAAGGGGGGAAATCATCGAATGGGGAGCAGTCCCGCCTGGGTGAGGCGGGAGGGAGCGGCAGACTCTTACTGACTAAAAACCACTTCGTTCCTTCTCCTGCATGTCGAGTCGAAGCCCCGGTTACCCATTAGGTTCTCCACGACAGGATTAATGCACAACTTTTTTTAATTAGCGTTATAATTCTATAAATAAATAATTTAGCCACTGTAATGTAGGTTATTCAAAATAATTCCCCTAAATTAAACATTTGACATCATTAGTAATTCTAAAATTCTAAACCTAAGTGTTTACCGGGCAGACTGTTACACTGACCGCAGGCCATCAAATTGTGGGACACGGGACTTTGCGGCAGTTGTACGGGAACTAATTTAATTACTGTCACCACAGCAGAGCCCCCGCTTATGTAGTCAAAGGTTTATATGCCTACCTGGGCGGTATTGACCGCACTGTTTCTTTGTAGTTTTTTGAGTATTTATCTGCCTTGTTTTTTAGTTTTTTTGAATAATTAATATATCTGCATATCCTACTAAATAACTTAATATTATAGTTAAATACGAAACTTTGTAAGATGTCTGTCTGTTTCTTAGTATGTTTCTTTGTTTGTTTCTTTGTTTGATTATTAGGTACTCCTTCAAGTCAAAACGGCAGAAGGGATCGGGATGAAATCTGAAACAGGTGTAAATTATGATTTCTACAACCTAGTCCTACAACTAAATACAATATTAGTTCAAGAATCCTTCCTTGCCTAACTAAAGTATTCAAGGAAAAGGCGGCCAAAGCATTCCGTTTCGATTGAATAAAACCATTCATCTCCGAACCCTCCCAGTTTTACTAAAATCTTATAGATATACCTCTGTTACTAAGGAGATTCTCCTTTGAACAACACGGTACACACATTCATTCAGAAAAAGTACTTTTATATCAAAGAAGGATTTTTTGTTCACATCCAAACTAATCCCGAATATCTGTGGGTCTGTAAAGTAGGTATTTAAATATCTAAAGGTGTTTGATCTCTGTTCTTATATATTTACTAGCTGATCCGACAAACTTCGTACAGCCTCAATTTTTCTTGCTCACCTTTTGAACCTTCCCTGGACTTCCACGAATATTTCAAGACAAAAATTAGCCTAATCGGTTCAGCTGTTCTCGAGTTTTAGCGAGACTAACGAACGGATATATTATATAAATCTGGAGAGTTTGTTTGTTTGTTTGTTAGAACGCGCTAATCTCAGGAACTACTGGCCCGATTTGAAAAACTCTTTTTTCGTTGAATAGTCGATATATGTATCGAGGAAGGCTATAGGTTATAAAACATCATGCTGCGATCAATAGGAGCCGACAAAACCGCGCGAGAATAGTTATTATAAAATAATATAATGATAAAACATTATACAAAAAATAAATCTTTACTTCACATAGATAATTTCAGTATCATTACTCCATTCGTATCATTGAAACAGGAAATCAAATTAATACTAAAATATTTAGCTTAAATTAGGAATCGAATTGAAAACTTCTCGCTTCGTAGACAGGACTTAGTTGAAATTTTACTTGAGACTACCTACCTTTTTAACTTGAAACAAAGTGTACCTACTTAACACATTTAAAGTACCTACCTAGGTAGTAACCCAGACAGTGTTATTCGTACTTAAAAATAAGCCCGATTTTATATAGGTTCTTAATTATAATCATCAACAAAAGAGTCTGAATAGGCTAATAATATCTAAAACCTAGGCTTTTTTTTTAAGGGGGGAAAATCATCGAATGACTGCCCCCGCCTGGGTGAGGCGGGAGGGAGTGTCAGACTCTTACTGACTAAAAACCACCCCGTTCCTTCTCCTGCACGTCGAGCCGGAGCCCCGGTTACCCGTTAGGTTCTCCGCGACTCCGAATCGGTCTCCGCGACTCCGAATCGGAAAACCTAGGCTAGGCACTAAGTATCACTAAGCTCTAACGTTAAAGTAGCTGAAAGCTGTAGGTTGTAGCTGTAAGTACCTACTTTTGGTACTTTAATTAATGTTATCTACTCATTTGTGTCACGAGAAACATAGGTAGGTACGTAAAACGTAAACTAAGTATAGTGCCTACGTAGGAACATAGCTGTAGGTACACAGTAGGTAGGTATACATTTTGTAAACTAAAATTAAAATATACCTATATAAGATAAGTAAGTAGGTAATATATATGTAAACCAGAGGGTAAACGGTTAATTTTACCCAAAGAATTCTTAATGTCCAGAATGTGAGTCCTGTCCGTCCTACGTCCTTTACGTGCCAAATTTTCAATTACCTATTAACTATTTTTAGACTATAATTTTTCATAACGTTTACTTTAAAAGACATGTGACTGTAATTTTCAAACCTGCCAGAAAAGTTAAAAAAATGTAAACGCGTAAATCCTGAAAATCGCAAACATAATGATTTTTAGGAACAGCGCCATCTTGCTACACCTATGAACAACTCGATAAAGAGAACGAAACGACAAGACATGTTTCCGTTCTACTACTTACAAAACCTGTTTTACCATTGGTTGGTAGTACCTTGTTGCGGACTGTACTGCAGATAAAGCATTGTACTTTATTTCTATTGGTTGCTTAATACACAAATAGAATAGGAACCAATGAGAGTAGATATTTTTATAGTTGCTTGCCACGTAATCGAGAACAAGGTGTAACGAAAAACAAATTCTTTGTGATCTGTCAAACAGATGACTGTTCAATCGGTGTATCCGCCTTGAAATAATTATTTTAAAGTGATTCAAGTAAGTAGAATTATTTTTATACTGTAGTTACAAGTTGTTCGTTAATATAATTGTGATATTTGTACATTTTTCTCTGTGAAATAGTCGAGTTTTCTTTGAATACTATTCGATACACGCTCTCGAAAATTGACGTCATTGGTTTGATTTCCATCACAAAACCAAGAGATTTTACAATTTATTGCACTATTTTCGTAATGTCTTTTAAATATTCTGTAAAAAATAGCACAAAACATATTCTTGTGCTAAAACTAGCTCATTACGTCGTACTACTTTTGTCTGCCTGATGAAAACAGGTATTCCTACGTTGAATATTGTCAACTATTGTAATGTTATTGAATTTTAGCACAATAGGAAGTTATTTATTACAACATTAGTCCAGTTTTCTTCAAAAATCTGTTGTAACGTACCACATACACCCGTCGCACATTGGGCAATTAGGTTTCAACTATGTTTAATTAGGGGCTATTAGGAATATGTGTCAGCGCCTTGCATTGTGCGACGCCCTAAATCGTACAAGCGAGTATTAATAATAAAGAGAACAGTATTCGCTTGAGAATTGATATTATCACATAATATGTGCATACTCCCTACTTTTGTTGATAACAATGATAAGATAGTGTGTTGTTGTACTTTATGTTTCAATCTACCTTTGTAGACTGTGCTGGCTTAATTTAATCTTTGAAATTGTTTTAGGTGAGGGGTCCCAAAATGACGACCCAAGTACAAGCTCTGTATGACTTCTCAGGGGAGCCCAACACCACAGAAATGTCAATAACATGTGGAGAAATATTGACATTAATTAATACTGAAATTGGTGAAGGTTGGTGGGAAGGAAGAAATTCTAAAGGCGAGACTGGATTATTTCCTGCTGCTTATGTACGTAAACTAGCACCTGAGGAATCAGTTCAGACTAAAGCAGCACCAGCAGCTCCCAGGTACGACCAAGCAAATGATGATTGGGGTGATCAACAATTTAGTGCTGGTGACAGCAACTTTCAAAGAGGCACCTCCCATGAAGAGGGCTGGGACGATGACTGGGATGATGATACTTACTCTGAAATAGGACCAGTCCAGCAACAAAACAAAACTCAGTACAACCAGCAACTGGCTCCCCTGCCGGGCATGCCCATTAGTGACTATAACCACCAAAATGAAGATACTGCTTCTAACTATGGATCATCTGTGGGAACAGTGAGAAAAAGTAAATTTGCACCTTCATCAAAGGTTAGTGGTGAGAGTTACTTACTTGCCACATTAAATGTAGAGGTACCAGACTCTGAAAAAGTTTACATAGTTCAAGAAGAAGATAGATATGAGTGGTGGCCAATAACACAACCATACACCGTCACTGTGGCCTCTCCGAAGAAAGAATCCAAGTTCAAGGGCATCAAAAGTTTTATTGCTTATCAATTGACACCATCATTCAATAACATTCAAGTCTCTAGAAGATACAAACACTTTGATTGGCTACATGAAAGATTACAAGAAAAGTTTACACTTATACCAATTCCACCATTGCCAGATAAGCAAATCTCTGGCAGATATGACGAACAACTAATAGAACGTAGAAGAGTACAACTTCAGGAATTTGTAGACTGGATGTGCAGACATCCAGTGCTATCCAAATGTGAAGTATGGCAACATTTTCTCACTTGCACTGATGAGAAGAGATGGAAAGCTGGTAAACGGCAAGCTGAAAGAGATGCCTTATTAGGTCTAAATTATTGCATATCAATAGTAGTACCTGAAAAAGCTTTATTGCAATCCCAAGTGGACCATATTGCTGAGCAATGCCATATGTTCATCAACAGCATGGACACTTCAGTCAAGTCAGTCGCTAACATGTGTATGGCCCACACTAAGAAACTTCAAACCTCCTACAAAGCAGATTGCCAAAAAGTTGGTGAAGCTTTTTGTAGCATGGCAGCCTCACTAAGTTTAGATGAAGGATCACTAGCCTCCACCTCGAAACTAACTACTGCAATCAAAATGACTGGTAGTGCATACATTGACATAGGCAGAATGTATGATGACCAACCAAAATATGATTGGGAACCATTAGGTGACAAATTTCATCTATACAAAGGAGTTGTGGGAGGATTCCCTGATGTTCTAACTACACACAAGAGTGCAATGCAGAAAAAACGTGAGTGCGAGAGACTGACAGCTGAGAACAAGATGGAAATAGCACAACTTAATGAAGTAATACGAAGAACCGATGTTGTATCTTACTCACTTCTTGCCGAAATTAACCACTTCAAGGCCGAGAGAACAAAAGACCTGAATGCAACAATGCAGAAATTCTTAAGGCAGCAAATTACTTTCTACAAAAGAGTGGTTGAGAAGCTAGAAACTACTCTAAAATATTATGACGAATAAGGAAATGAGCTAAGGATTTGATAACTAACTAATAGCTTGTATCAAAAACCATCACAGAACTCTACAGAGAAACATTTTAGTGTTACATAGTGCCAGGGTAAGCTTATACAATCTGACATTGTACATTGATAATAGGATACAAATTGTCGCGAACGTAAGCTAGCTACACCAACAGATGCGTAAGAACTAGGTGCATTAGTTTATCAAATCTGATAAGTGTTTTGAAGTACTAACTAAATAAATAATGAAACAAAAACTTGAGTAATCACTTAAAATGTATTTAGACAATATTCTCTAGTAGAAAGAGGCCACAGTGCTGACTCCTGCTGTTCCCTAACACTTCTTGCCTTCATGGGAAAAGCATGATAATATTACTAGGTGGAAATAAGTAGCTTTTGCTTAAGACAGTTACATAAACTAGATTAATATGAAATATGTTGCCAGGCAGTGTGGTCTCTCCTGCTTTCTACTTGTATATTCTACATAAAAATATTGGTATTTATTTAAAAATAATGTAATGTATTCTGTAATTGTGTATTAAAATTCATGTAATCCGAAGGATTATAAGGCAGTATTGAAAATAAGGTTGCATAGAATGAATTTACATTGTGATGAATTAAGGGACTGAATGAAACTGTAATGATGTTAATCATTATTGCTTAACTTTTACAAACTCGATTTTCCTGTATATATTTTTGCACTCTTACAAGGTCATAATACAATTTTTTATGTATACATAGTTTTATTTTATTAAATTTACTAACTGTGGATCAATTATTTTGAGACGTTTTGTTGTATAATTATTTAGATTAAGTGTTGTACTATATTCCACTTTTATAAGCTATTTTAGGAATTTAATTAAATAAATAAACAATGTAATTCGTTTTCTTGTTTTTTGTATGATTTACCTTATGATTGGTTATCGATAAATGTGTTAAAATTGTAAGTATAACAAAGTTCTTCTGAAATTAATTTGTAATGTTTTCTTGATAATAATTGGTGTTATTTTACATTTTTCAGAATTGGAAACGACATGAAAATACGAGAAATTAGGTGAAGAATAACACAGCGTGTCTGAGGTTGCTTAAAATGGCTGAAGAGAAGAAAAAGGATGCGAGTGCATTGCTGGCCAAAAAGAAAAAAGTGAAGCCACGCAAGTCGAGAGACGCAGACTGCTGCAGTGTAAACTTCTTGAAGTGCGTCCTACATATCTTCAATGTAGTCTTCCTGGTAAGTTAACATTACATTAGATATTGTTTAAATACGGTAAACCGGGGTAAATGGAATCACAGAAATGAGTAGATACTGCAACACTAGCCCAATTTGTATTTACCCTGGTTTACGATGATAAATTATTTTCTTCATAAACGTACGTAAAATAAAGTCATGTTCGTTATACCATTTTCAAATTGAGAAGTCAAGAACGGTTGTACCGGTTATCATGTTTAAAAAAAACCGGTAGACAAATCGCGTACCTTATATTTTTGTATAAGTACAAAGTTCATTAGGCAATTTATGTAGGACTGTCTACATAAACTTTAAATCATTGAAGAAAATCGCTCCCGTAATTAAAAATGCAAATTTAACAGCTCGGAAACAGCTCCACTTGATAATATTAAACAAAATGTTTTTATCTCGTCACTCGAGATTAACTATCAGTTTCCTAATAGTTGGGAGAACAAATTCATAAGTATGGCTCACTGGTCCTTATCTTGTTTACACGTTGGTGGTAATAAAATAGGTTTAGAGTAATACATACCCACATTTGAAGCAGTTAAAGGCTAATTTAATAGGAAGTCAACTTTGCCATTACAATGACCATAATGCCAGACTCTATGCATTTACAATGGACATAATATTTAATTATGTGAAACATTTTGAGTACTAAGTACTAGCTTGTTTTGTCAAATAAAAGAAAAACGTAAAGAAAGTAATGCATGGAAGACGCATGACCGCTTGACTTTCATTTTCGTTTCGCCTAGTAGTCATGGTACATATAATTTTGCCCTTACGGTCTATTATTCAACATTGTACCGTGACGTTTCACTGTAAAGAATCACACGGCTAATTAGTTGATACTTGGTAGGTAATAAAATATAAATGCGCCTTTTATGAACAGTAGAAGCGTAATGTCCATATTTTCTACATTACATAAATGATGCGCTTAAACTAATTATGGTTAGGGAAAAATCAGTCATGAATGAACCCCTAATATAGACATTTCAATGTCGGTTATGTATAACTTTAATAGCAATTTTTATAGATAGAAAGACTTGCTTACACTTAGTTGTACATATCTTATTTATTATTTTACATGTTTAATTGGGTTAGATTCTTAAACAATCATTCAGCTTTGATAACATCCTGAAAACTCCTCTGGCATAATGATATAGTTCTTAGTTTGTAACGGAAGAAACACAGCCGGTGCTTCAAAATGGACGGCCTACGGTATTTAGCCATATCCATGTCTCTACTAAACGGATTACGTAATACGTAGGCCCAAACCGACTTTATGAGGATTACGTAGCCTTTGGAGATCTAACGTCAAAATCTTTTCAAGGTCAAATGACGAATTAGACCGACGAGGTACTATGATGATTAATTCTGCGGTAGTAGTGTTTATTTAATTAATTCGTTTAAGCTTTACGAAGATAAATCGGTTAGTCAGCAAACTGTTCTCTCGTGTCTATGTAGGTACTGGTAAACAAACATGAGCTATTTCATAAACTAACAAGGCCTTTGATTTGTTGAATGATGATCGCTATTTCGGAGTTTCTGTAGAACGGAATCTAGATCTGAATCATATCATGCTCTTATTAAACTAATAAATGGTAAACGGTAAACTGTTTTAGAGTATAATCAGACTGGTATGATGTAGGTAGGTACCTAGGAACTTAAAAGTATAAAGTGACGATAAGGTGGTGTTGTTTACTACGGAAATTCTTCCAAATTCCCGCTTATAAAGCCAGTATAGTGTAATTAAAATTATCAGCTATGCAAACTCATTTTATTTCAAGTATTAAAATATGTTTTCAACAATTTTTCCCTCAAGCAAACTTAGAACAATATTGGACTTTTATGTAATTTGCTACTAATAATATTAGATAATCTATATCGACTAATAATACGTTAAACATGTTGTCTTATATCTCATTACATAGATTGGAGATCAATCTACTAAATTATAAGTTTAGGTACTTGAATGTAAAATTTGTACCACCCAAAATGGCAATTCTAAAACCCCATTTGCCTCTTATCCTGATGCGTCATAGCATTAATGCCATTGAAGGGCTTCATACATAATTCTGTTAATTCCGGAAAATGTTGTCATTATTCATACTTACTTACCTATTTGAATATGTATTTCTATTCCTGTTTCATTGGTCATAAAGTACCTCGGCAATATATACTCCGATCGGTTTTCAATTACAGATTTACTGGTCTTCTAAGTGGTATAAGCCTAGTTTATGTTGGTTGGGATCCATAAGAAATTAAGAGCCAATTTTCAATCATCAGTAAATTTTTAACTGCAGCATAAAATTGTCATTTGACTGGTATTAGTATGGAACAATTGACAAATATTCAAAGTTATTCCTCTGATAAAATTTAACTGAGCATTGAAAAATCGGCCCAAACATTAAAAATACCAGCCATAATATTTGTTTCCTGTATTCTATTTGTAACCTTTGTTGTTCAGCAGCCCATTCTAGCTTGACATGGATGATATACTTCGATGTTCTCGGTAATATTATTCGACGTATTCTATCTTCGTTTATTAACTCAAAAATTACACAGAAAAAAATAATTTAGCCTAGAAACACTTCAGCGACAAATATCCAATTACTTATATTAAATTATTTTGGGAATGTGTATAGATCGAAGTTAATTGATTAATCTACAAAACACTTTCAACCTTATCGCTGTGATAACAACAACGACAACACTCCTACAAAATACTTCTAAAATTATCACGTTCTGATTATGACCCGGCAGGCGACCCATACCGGCTTGACCTACAAAATAATTTTCAATAGTTCCAATACAGTTTCATCGTTATTATCAAATCCTATCCTAGATACGTGTAAGATTCCTATGTCCAGTGATGGACATGGGCACCACTCATAGGAATCTTACTAATATTAAAAAATCGAAAGTTACTTAATCACGTAAAAACAGCTGAAGAAATTGGAATTTAATTTGAAACAGGGTTAAATAATGGTCTGTAATAAAACAGGTTACTATGCTGCCAGAAGCTATAGTCTACATTACAATGTAGCACGCCATTAAACTCGATATCTATCTACTGCGGCTACACAACGGATACCGTCACCCCACATAGCTGGAAGCAGGACACTACATTCTACATACACCCTACCTACGCACACTAGTACCACACTACATTTACCTAGGACGTTATTAAATCAATATTTTGACACTAAAAATAGAACTTCATAGCAAAGTTACAGTTGCGTGAACTACAATACAAACACAATGATGTTATGGTTCAATGTAGAACATTGTTTCTAAGGAGGTATTATATCCAACATAACAGGCTACACCATAGTTTTATTTTTAACAGATTTTCAATCAGGATTACTTGAATAAATTTCCTAATTTGCGGTACTTTTTGTAGCGTCATCTGTACAAACATTTGGAAGTACAGACATGTGTTAATTTCATTTACATAATGTAAATAGTTTTCGCCATCTCTTAATATAATATGCTGTAATAAATATCAGTTGACTGCAATTTTAATTTCAACTTTAAATGACTTGTTTTGTACATAAAGTATGTAATGTACCTATAAGTTCATGTAAATACTTTTTAATAATAATAAATTTAAAGTTCTTTTTTTCTTTTTTAAAAAAACATTACCCCATATTAGGATTGTCTTCTGTGAACAACAGTCTGTGGATCACACAGTGTGGTTCCGTGCGGGAATCGGGAAATCAACAACATAAAATGATTCAGAATACAAGGAAATCGTATTAAACAATACTAGAAATCTTTAATAAGCGACAGATAACTTATCTAATATTATATCTATTGATAAATTGATGACTCAGTTCGCAGGCGCGGGAGTGTTGGGCGTGGGAGCGTGGACGGTGACCTATCGACATCGATACGTGTCTCTGCTGCCGACGCCGACGTACCCAGCTATTGCGTACCTGCTCATCATAGCCGGGGCTATGGGCGTCCCCTTATGCGCTCTAGGGTGCTGCGGCCTCAAGACTGAGAACAGAACCAGTTTATTATGCGTGAGTATTATTATTATTATGACTGCCTCGTTGGCCGAGTGATCGCAAGTGCGGCTGCTGGACAAGGGGTCTCCGGTTCGGTTCCCGGGTCGGGCAAAATATTACTGGGTTTAAAAAAATCTCAGTAGAGTAACACGGAGTCTGAAATTGTGTGGTATATGACAATAGGCTCGCCCCCTATTGCATGGGACTCATAACATAAATAGTGATGAGGGGGTGTTACATTGTACAGTGGCATTAACTGCTGTAATGTGCACCTCTGCCTATCCCTTCGGGGATAAAAGACGTGATGTTATGTTATGATATTATTATTTTTATTGCCTTTATTATGAGTGGAGTGTCATAGGTTTATCCAACTGCTGTATACCTATTTGTGATTGTAGAAATTCCCTAGTCATAATATTGCATTTTCCCTTTTTTCTTTCCGTGTACCGTCTGAACCGCTTTAAATCCTTAATCCCTGGGAATTAGACTCCCACATTATAACTGAGAATTTAAAAGTTGAACCAAACACAATAATTTGATAATTGTCAGTAGTATAGGCTGACTCTCTATTACATGGTACTCATAACATAAATAGTCAAAAGTGGGTGTTACATTGTACAGTGGCATGAAGTGCCGTAATGCTTCTGCCTACCCTTTGGAAGTTAAAAGGCGTGATTTTATGTATACTATTACAATATTCTTATGATAGACTTTAAAATTGAACACCAAAACTCACCATCTTAGTAACACTTTTGCGGCTATTACTCCATTAAAAAGACTATTACTTGACTATTATTATACATATTCAAATAATCCTTAAGTTAGTATTATTTGAATAATTAGAATTATTTGAGCCAGCATCTAATACCAAACACACATAAAATGATAATTGAATATCCTGTTCCCAGTACACTTACTTCCTGCTGATAACGTTCCTACTGGAGGTGGGCGCGGGCGGGCTGGCCTACTACTACGAGGTGGCCGTCGAGGACGAGCTGCGCGCCGAGCTCAACAACACGTTCCTGTCGAACTACGCACTCGACACCACCGTCACCAATGCTGTCGATAAAATGCAGACTGAGGTACAACACTGGTTACCTAAAACTCCCATAATGAAAACTATGTTTTATTTATGGAATTTGAGGCAATCGAGCCGACGGATCACCTGATAGTAAGCGATCAGCGCCGTGCATGAACACCAGAGAAGTCACAGATGCGTTGCCGACCTTTTAAAAAGGAATACGCTTACATACCTCCTTTGCTTCCTAAATTGTCATCAGTCTTTTCATAGCAATCACAATATCGTACCAATAGAATAGTTGCCAGGGTATGAAAATTAAAAATCTAATTAGTCCGAAGTTAGATAATGAAAAAACATTAGATACGTATTTTTTTGTTTGCTCGTATAAAGTTACAATACTTAGATAAAATGTCGTGAAGTTTAGGAGTTGGAGGTCGTTACGTCACAATGTGCTACGAAATATAGCACGCTGTGACATCACTAATTACAAAACTAACTGTCAAAGAATTTTAAAGCTATGTTTTTATATTCATCAGTAAGGCTTTGATTACCCATTGTGATATGCAGACATTTCGAAACTGGCATCATCACTAATGAAGAGTACATACACAGCTAAAGAATTCCCATCAAAAGCAGTCATAGATATGAAATACAAAACTGAAATTCCTTACAAATGACTCAGTGTAAAACCTGACTCATTCTACAAGTCCACGTTAAACTTGTCTATAATAATATTTATACACTTGGTAGCAAAAAACGGAGCCACTAGCATTTCTTGTTCCATTATTTAAATCATTTTTTTATAATAACTATCGTGAGATATACTAAATTAACTAAAAATCGCGGGTTACTCACGTGAATATACTGAGAAAAGCTCTACTAGTTTCGAACCACAGAGGGGTTCTTCCTCATGAGCAGCATACGCGGCGTGGCTAGCATTGATGGTTACATCGGTGTTACTACTTGCGCTGCGAACCGAATCATTTTTAACCTTTCGTGTGTTTTTTGAGACACAATTTATTTTCTATCTTCTTGTCTTATTTGGTGCATTCACGCGGTTAATCATAATCATATTTCAATCATTATCAAACCCTTATAACTTAAAAACAAATGATTTCTTTTACAACAAAATACTCTCAGTTTAAAGGTAACTCCAATTAATAAAATACTTCTATCAAGTAATGAAAAGGGCAAGTGTGTATAATATCAAGTACTGGCATGTACAAACAATATGTAGTTACGCGTTGATTCATGAATAAAACTTGGTCAATTGCCCAACATTGAGTAAATATTTTCAATTGACTGTGTATATCGATTTTATTATGACTCATGTATATGGATTGGCCATGGTTTGTATCTACTCGTATTTACTGCTGTGTTGTCTTCAAACGTAACTCTTGATGTTTATTTTTAAAATTTGATGGACCGACCTTTGACCGCTATTTCGCCTGGCAGTAATCAATGATGCGGTTTACAATGCAGCACGTCGTTTCATAAGCAACCTATTCACTCGGGCCTTAAAGACATCCAGGTCATACATACCCTTCAGGAAATACAGACTCTGGCAACGAATTCCACTCCTTAGCAGTACGCACAAGGATGCTCGATGATATACAGTACCTTAATTATTTACAAGATTTTCTTCCTTCATCGACAGCCTATAATTGGCCACTGTTGACCAAAGGCCTCGCTCACACAGAATAGCTTCCTTCACGTTCATTCATCTACACTTTGAAGCAAAGACTCGGAGCCCACTAGGGTTTTATTTTTTTTATTTCGTGATTAATAGTTTCTGATACAAGTATTTTATTAATTGGTAACGTATGACGAATGAAAGGTAAAATTCATTTACTTTTAAAAGGAAAATGTATTCATTTTGTTGTAATAAAAATATTTTTTTTTTAAAGTTACAGAAGGTTCAATAAAATGAAAAAAATACGCTAGTAGCCCCGTTTCTTGGCTCGCAAGTTTAGTTATACAAACACGCACTGTTTAAAAGTAAGTACTGATACTTTTTGCAGTGTCTCTTTGTTAATCTAATGAAAATTATGGCTTTAGCAGGGATAGGCAATGTTCGTAAACATATTCAACATAAAACCTCCTTGACACAGATGAGATCATCATAAAAATCTTGTTTTATATAAAAAAAAGCATTTAAATGCTAATTCTATTATAGACTGCCTCGTTAGCCGAGTGGTCGCAAATGCGACTGCCAGGCAAGGGTTCGATTCCCGAGTTGGGCAAAGTATTAATGGGTATTTTAAGAAAACTCAGTAGTAGCACGGAGTCTGAAAATGTGCCCGGTATATGGCAATGGGTTCACCTCCTATTACATGGGACTCATAACATAAATAGTGAAAGTTGGTCTTACATTGTACAGTGGTATAATGTGCACCTCTGCCCACCCCATTCGAGGATAAAAGGCGTGATGTTATGTTATATTATAAAGAAATATTATTTAGATAAATATGAAAGAAATCGTATATCATAGAGAGAAACAGGAAAATTGAAGATGTATTTATTTTTCCTTGTAGCTTGTTTATCGACGCGTAGGTAACTAGATAGGTATAGTTAATAGTACCATATCAATCAATAGATAGTCGATATTATCTACTTATAAAGCGTATATTCTACTGAACTGTCATTGAACTGCATTGTTTATTTTTTACTAGCTCTATTATGCCCTTGTCAAAGCAGAAGCAGCAAGTAAAAATCTACTAAAAAATTAAAATCAAACTAAATGTTATTTGACAATTTGCTACTTTCAAATTAGTTTTGTAACTTTATATCCAATATTTAACGCCACTCAAGTTTAAGACTCGTCTAGGTATAGTTCTATCACTACAAATTCATTGTGAAACAACAGAGAGGTCACGATGTTCAAGTAATACTTAAAATTGAGTAACCCTTCAGTATTCTGGCTTTAGTTATTTATCTTCACTATCTTCTGCCGACTTATTACGCGAAATCCAGTTTTATTCCGTTCCCGCAGGATTTACCCTTAAACCCTTAAACCAGAACCGTATGTTAATGATAAGAAATACAACAAATAAAGAATAATTGAAATCGGTCAAGCAATTCACGCGTGATGCCGTGACCAAGGGAAAAGGGTTTCATTTTTATATAATATATAGATTATGGTAATGATAATAATGCAAAATGCTATATCACATCCAGCAAATAAAAAAACTTAATACATAGGTACAGCGTGTTAGCTACCACTTACCATATCCAGACATGATTTTGGAACTTTCTACATTTCGTAAAAATCGTTAAAAACAAATTAAAGAAACAGTATTGTGTTTGGCATTGACCCCGTACCTATTCGTTTTAGCTTTATTTTTATTTTTAAGGGGGGATAATCATCGAATGACTGCTCCTGCCTGGGTGAGGCGGAAGGGAGTGTCAGACTCTCACTGACTAAAAACCACCCCGTTCCTTCTCCTGCACGTCGAGCCGGAGCCCCGGTTACCCGTTAGGTTCTCCGCGACTCCGAATCGGCATCGGCCCTATTAGGCCCCACGTTTTAGCTACAGTATGTATGTAAAACCACTGTTTGTATATCCTCAGTTCAAATGTTGCGGTGCCGTGCGGTACTCGGACTGGCGCCACAGCCCGTGGCACGAGCACGACCCGCGCCTGCTGGTGCCAGACTCCTGCTGCAAGACTCCTTCCAACCGCTGCGGCGCCAGGGACCATCCATCCAACATATACTATCATGTTAGTATTGTATCTCTTGTATCATGCCATTTTGAGTCGTGTTTAAACGGAAATAAAGTTTAATTTTAAATTGTTCAAGTTAGATCCTTGTACGAAGTCAAGGTGGAGGCAATGATAGACAGTTATGCCTTCAATAATAATAACTATTCGTATTCTACTACAAATGTATGGTATGAATTTACAATATAATTCATGAGTGATCTACAGTAGATATTTTCTTGAATAAGGTTTTTTCAATTAAAAAGAACATTAGGTACCTCTTCTCAATGGATAACAAAAGTTGTTTTATAATTCCAGGGTTGCATACGACAGTTCACGAACCACATACGGGACCACTTGATCATCTTAGCAGCGGTGGGGGTGGGGATGGCGGTGATCCCTATATTTGGGTTCCTGTTCTCTTGCGTGCTGTACGTGAAGATAAAGCATGTGATAGACTGACGGCGGGCCGCGCCGGCCAATGCTAAGAACCGGAAAGTGTTCGACAAGTCGGCGCGAGGAGGCACGGGGCGAGGCGCGCCCCGGCCCCGCCCCCAGCCCCGCCCCCCAGCCCCGGCGCCCGCCCCCTGCCCCGTGCACCCCTCGCTCGCCAAACGAGCCCCCATCTCCACCATCAGCGACAACGTCAGCATATAAACCACCAACCTAAGTCCGTGACTGAATGTTCAGTGACAGTGCAATCTCGATGTAGACTTAGACCATGTGTTCATCGATTACGACAATCGGTTATTATACAGAGTTAATGTTCGTGTCTAATTATAGTGAAGTAGAAACTGTGACCGAATTTATATCAAGAGAGCCGGGCCAGCAGCTCGGTAGTGACTAATGTAAGATGGTGCTATACTATTTTGTTATGGAATCGCAGGTAGCTAGCGCATCTAATGGGGAGGGAGAATCTTATTGTTTAACGAGAGCCATTTGGAATTGCGAGTTTAAAGTAGTAATTGTACAATTAAATGTTCTATCCGTGTTAAAACATCTGATTTAATAGCTTATCACTGACACAATGCGAGTATATCGTATATCAAGTAACATTTCACGTAATTATATAATTGGTACACTTACATTGTTTATAACCTTCACCTATTCATTTATAATTGCTTGCAAAGGTAATTATTCTGAGAGAAACAATGTCATTGTTACTGTTGATGACGGCATTGACATTGGCAGTTCTTAGTACACGATCTTAGTAGCTATACACGTGAATCGAATGATTATTGAATTACGGATTCCTTTGGCGAATATAGTCAATGAACATATGTGTAGTTAGTATAAATCGGCACACATGCCGCATACTAATTGGTCGGTCTGAATCATTGGCGTATCATTCTATAATTGTTTTAAACAGCTACGGAAAAACCTAGTCACAACAGTTACGAGGAATAATGATACAAACACTAAAATACGTGACTAGAATTCTTGATTCTTTAAACATATTAAAATAATATAAAATCCATGTTTGAAGAACATAGACTAAATGTTACTGTTGTATTTAGATCACCAAAAACTGTGTAATCAATTATACTTAAAATCAATGTGCCTTATTACTTGTTAAGATTGTATATAATAATGTAATGAATGTAATTTAAACAACAGTTGAAATTATAATTAAGTTATTTGTTCATATTTTATTTTATAATGAGTTATGAAAATTTTGCCCAAAGTTAATTGATAGTGATCAAATTTTTTGGGCTGGTGACACACTTCAAAAATCTTATTTCTCTAGTTACGGCGTGTTATAAAACTGATTATTATTATTCCCACAGTCGCTCCTATACACTCTAAATTTAGTGTATTAATGTGTAGGACAACTTGTAGCCAAATTAAGCAAAACTCACCCTATTACATGGGACTCATAACATATAATATTGAAAAGTGAGTACTACATTGTACAGTGGCATTAAGTGCTGTAATGTGCACCTCTACCTACACCTTTTTTTAAGGGGGGGAAATCATCGAATGACTGCTCCCGCCTGAGTGAAGCGGAAGGGAGTGTCAGACTCTCACTGACTAAAAACCACCCTGTTCCTTCTCCTGCACGTCGAGCCAGAGCCCCGGTTACCCGTTAGGTTCTCCGCGACCTACCTACCCCTTTGGGGATGAAAGGCATGAAGTTATAAAAAAAATCTATTAATCAATGTATCTTTAAATCTTTAGGTACTACTATGGTGATAAATGAACACTCAATGTTAGCTCAATGTTTAATGTCTGACCAATACAATGGTTGGGACGCGTCGGCCCCCACACCGAATCCTTCCAGTTAATATCGCGCGTAGGCGTAATACATATAATGCTTAACTAAGGGCCCCCATATATCTTTAACTACCGAAGATAACTTTCTTGATAACAATTTCAATTTAAATTTACATTTAAAATAAACTAGCTTCTGCCAGTGGTTTCACCTGTTAACTTCAAGAAAATCGAGTATTCAGTAACTTGTCTATACTTGTTTTGTATGTGACTATACCATATGTAAGATAATGTATGCAAAAACGTGAGCCCAGAGATGCAAAATAAATAATTCACTATTTATTGTTGTAAACAACGTGGTTTTATATGTAACCTTTATTTTTGTTACCTGATCAATCTCCTTGCAATGTCTTTTATTTACTTTAATATAAAAAATGTGGGTTGTCCTAAGTTGGAGAGGTTACACCATATCACCGACATACTTGTCTATATATATAAAAATCAATTGCTGTTCATTAGTCTCGCTAAAACTTGCGAATATCTATGTTATTTTATTCAAATTGTCCTAAAAATTTGCTATCAAAATACAAATTGTTTCTTTCTATTAGAATCTTCTTAAATGAGCTATGATTGATTATTTAAAGAGCTTTGTTTCTTAAAGATCATATCACTTAGTGACGGGAGAAACAAATATAGATAAAATAAACTTTTTTTTAAGGGGGGAAAATCATCGAATGACTGCTCCCGCCTGGGTGAGGCGGGAGGGAGTGTCAGACTCTTACTGACTAAAAACCACCCCGTTCTTTCTCCTGCACGTCGAGCCGGAGCCCCGGTTACCCGTTAGGTTCTCCGCGACAGATAAAGTAAACTTAGAGTTTAATAACACCAACAATTGGAAACAAATAATCAATGTAGACACATGCAAAAACGGTCCCATTCATAAAGCCATAACATAAATACAGAATGTTCAGTCACTTACCCTCGGTTACGAATCAATAGAGAAAATAAACAACACCTATCAGTTATAGGTAACATAGAATCATCGTTTATCAAGAAAAACCGCAAATGTTTATTTGCAAACCTATTCCCGCTAATTTGTCTTTGAACAGTGTGTCACCAGTCACTTTATAACCGCCATATTGGCGTTGATGTTACAGCACGCATCAAAAATACTTTGCTACTGTGTAATTAAATGCATATAGTGTAAATGACAAAGTTATAACTAACTTTAGGAAAGTATGAGGACAAGTGTCTCGATGTGGAACAAACACAGCGTTAAACACAAAAAATGTAGAACCATTTCTTTTAAACGACGTACTATATTTGGGTTGTCTTCTTCTTCTGGTGATCCACAAATTATCGTTCTGGTTAGACCCAGAACGATAATTTGTGGATCACATAAGAAGTAGTGCCATGCGAACAGTTGCCCAGCTAACGCGCCTGACTTACGAACAACATCAACGAGTAAAACAATATCTTAACATCCTTAATTATAAATAGATCTAATGTAAAAATCGACTAACACAAATGTGGAAAGTTGAAGAGTGGCCAAGAGATGCATTAAGTCACTAAGTCAACAGCACTTTAAAATGAACCATAGTCCCTTGGTAGGATATAAACCTTAACTTAGGGCGACAAAGAGAATAGAGAAAGGAAATAGATTAATTTTCCAATCTTCATACGACCTTCATTACACACTGCGACTTCGTTCGCGTAGAAAGTGATTCCTGTTAATATAATCAGGATAAAAAGTATCACATCACCTAAGCTAGCCCATACCCTGCCTGTATACCAAAATCTGTTCAGTAGTTTCAGCGTGATTGAAACATCTAAACAAAGAAAGTTTCACATTTTTATGATATTTGTAAAATTCATAGTAGCCGAGTAATTTGATGCGTACTTATTAATAACTTCTAAACGAATGTTTAAAGCCAAATGTATTAAGTAATTGTTTTGTACGGGTACTTAATGTCTTTGTAGTACCTAATTTTTTCCACTTTATTTACTAACTATTGCATACACGTTATTTATACTTTATTATATTCTATACAACTTGTGTATTGTAATTAATTGGATCTTGAGCAATCGTTATTCTTAATAGATAGTTTAGTATTTTATCTGACGATATTTTACCTATATAGTTCTTATGTATTTATGTAATACCATACTTCGTTTTTTTATCTTATATGTATTCAATATATGTATTCTGATGTTTTAACGCAAAATATCTAAATTAAGATTAAGTTAATTGCAATATACACATTCTGTTAAATCTATCTTCACATTCTAAAAGTCTTGTTAATTAATACAGTTTAACTAAAACACGGTTGTTTTATTTGTACCAATATGGCTGTCCACATAGCAAAACAAAATGAGGAAAAATATTACTATAAAGTTTTGATAGGTACCTGTTTCAAAATGATAGAAATCTAGTTTTTTGTTATGATTAAACTTCAAAACTGGATGCCTGTTTATTGCACCTGTCTACTCAACATGCACGTGTGTGAAAAAACGGGTAAAAAGAGCATCTTTAGATAAAGTAGCTCTATGTATTATTAAAAAAAACGTAGAACGTTTGTGGAACTCTAAAAAATAAAAATATTCGTCTGAGGACAATTTATTTGTACAACACAAACATATTATTCACAGTTTGTTTGACGTAACATATAAAACGTGATATTAATATTAATAAGTTCTTAACTATTTTATTGATTCCAAAAACCAGATTAGGATTTTTATTTCTGTCATTCCATGTTAAATTATACTTATTTTAATATTCTGTTTATGGAAATCTCCTGGAAATTTGTATTTAGTATTTACCAACATAAAATAGATATAAAGATTCTAGCACTAGTCGTTAGCTTGATTAGTTTAGTAATAAAGTACCTACTTATTAATTACCTTTTAATTAAATGGACTATCATACAGTCAGTTACAATTTCTAATTCCCTTGACGTGGATGCGTTACAAGTGTAGAAATGTTTATTCGAGTAATTTTTGTGTGTACAGTAATATCGTGTATTGTGTGCAATAAAATAATCCATCCAGACTTAGGATCTATCGATGATGTGTTGGATATTATTGAGAAAGTACCTACAGAGGGTCCAGGGCTAGGATCTATTGATGATGTGCTGGATATCATTAAGAGGGTGTCTACAGTAGCTCCTGAATCTCTGAGACCTATAGAACCACCATCTCCTGCGGCACCACAGGGGAGGTCATGGCCAGACGTCACAGACTCTCCCTTCTTA